AGCCATTAATGCAAATGGCCTCAATGCATCAACCAAAAGAAACAGACTGGCAGAGTGGATCAAGAAACAAAATGCATCAATATGCTGTATAAAAGAAACACATTTAACTCAAAAGGAAATCCATAGACTGAAAGTTAAAGGATGGAAAACAATACTCCATGCAACAGGAACCCAGAAAAAAGCAGGAATAGCTATTCTGTTTGCAGACAAGGTGAACTTCAAACAAACAATGATTAAAAGAGATAAAGAAGGTCACTATATTCTTGTCAAGGGAAAACTGTAAGAGGAAGAGATAACAATCATAAATATATATGCACTAAATATAGGAGCAGCCAATTATATAAGGCAAATTTTAACAGACATAAAAAATCAAATAAGTAATAACACAATTATAACAGGGGATTTTAACATCATACTGTCAAAAAGAGATAGATGAACTAGACAAAAAAATCAACAAAGAAATAACAGAACCAAACCAAAGGCATGAACAAATGGACTTAGTAGATCTTTACAGAGTATTCCACCCAACAACATTAGAATAAACATTCTTCTCAGCTGCACATAGAACATTCTCTAAAATAGACCACATACTAGCACATAGAACATGCTTAAATAAATGCAAAGGAACTGAAATTATCCCATGCATATTATCAGACCATAGTGCAATGAAACTGGAAATAAATGATAAAAGAAATTTGATCTTTAAAAAAAATTTATCAAAAACTCTATAAACAAATGGAAATTAAATAACACCCTCCTGAACAACCAATGGGTCACAGAAAAAATTAAAGTAGAAATTAAATACTATCTACCATCAAAGAAAAATGCAGATACAAACCTCCAGAACCTGTGGGACACAATGAAAGCAGTCCTCAGAGGAAAATTAATAGCAATGGATTCCTACATCTGGAAAACAGAACGAACACAAATAAACAATTTTATGCTACACCTCAAACTTCTAGAAAAAGAAGAGCAAGTTAATCCCAAAGTCTGAAGGGAGGAAACTATAAAGATCAGAGCAGAAATTAACACAATTAAGACTAAGAAAACAATAGAAAAAATTAATGAATCAAAGAGTTGGTTCTTTGAAAAAAATAAATAAAATTGATAAACCCCTAACCAATCTTATCAAAAAAAGGAAAGAAAAAACTCAAATCCATGCAATAAGGAATGACAGGAGTGATATCACTACAGACCCTGTAGAAATTCAGAAGATCACCAGGCATGGTGGCACACGCCTGTAATCTCAGCACTCAGGAGGCTGAGGCAGGAGGATCATTGTGAGTTCAAGATCAGCCTGGGCTACAAAGTGAATTCAAGGCCAGCCTGAACTGCATAGCGAGACCTTGTCTCAAAAAAAAGACAAAAAAAAAAAAAAAAAGAAATTCAGAAGATCATCAATATCTACTTCAAAAATCTTTACTCTCATTGGATGGAAAACACAGAAGAAATAGACAGATTCCTATATACATAGGAATTACTAAAACTGAATCAAGAAGATATAAAAATGTTGAATAACCCAATATCAGCCAATGAAATTGAAAATGTAATAAAAAAAACTTACCAACAAAAAAAAAACCCAGGTCCTAATGGATTCACAGCTGAATTCTACAAGTAACTTAGAGAAAATTTAATACCAATTCTTCTCAAACTCTTTAAAGAAATAGAAAGGGAAGCAATTCTTCCAAACTCATTCCTGGAGGCAAGTATTACCCTGATACCAAAATCAGAAAAAGAACTAACCAAAAAAGAGAACTATAGGCCAATATCCCTGACGAACATAGATACAAAAATTGTCAATAAAATACTAGCTAACAGAATGAAGGAAATCATCAAGAAGATAATACACCATGACCAGGTGGGATTCATCCTAAGAATGCAGGGATGGTTCAATATATGTAAATCAATCAATGTAATATACCCTATCAACAGAGCTAAAGACAAGAATCACATGATCATCTCAATAGATGCAGAAAAAGCTTTTGATAAAGCCCAACACTTATTCATGATAAAACCCTAAAGAAAATTGGCATAGATGGACTTTACCTCAATCTGATAAAAGCCACCTATGACAAACCAAGAGCCAACACCATACTAAATGGACACAAACTGAAAGCTTTCACATTAAAATCAGGAATAAGACAAGGATGTCCACCGTCACCACTCCTATTCAATGTAGTTCTGGAGACACTAGCCAGAGCAATTAGACAAGAGCGAGAAATAAATGGAATAAAGATAGGAAAGAAAGAAGTGAAATTATCTTTAGTCACAGGTGACATGATACTCTACATAGAAAACCCCCAAAATTCCACCAAAAGATTCCTGGAATTAATCAACAAATTCAGTAGCATAGTTGGATACAAAGTCAACATTCAAAAATCAATAGCATTCCTATACACAAAACAACAAACATACTGAGAGAGAAATTAGGAAAACCATACCTTTCACAACAGCATCCAAAAAACTGAAATACTTAGGAATTAATCTAACAAAAGTAAAAGATCTATACAGTGAAAATTATAGTACTCTGAAAAAAGAGATTAAAGAGGATTTCAAAAAATGGAAAGATATTCCTTGCTCATGGATAGGAAGAACCAACATTATGAAAATGGCCATACTCTCAAAATTGTTATACAGATTCAATGCAATCCCAATCAAAATACCATTAGTATACCTCACAGATCTAGAGAAAACATTCCTAAAACTCATCTGGGACCAGAAAAGACCCAGAATAGCAGAAGGAATCCTGGGCAACAAAGGCAAGGCAGGAGGCATCACAATCCGTAACTTGAAACTATACTACAAAGCCATTGTGATAAACTCAGCATGGTATTGGGGAAAAAAAAAAAAAAAACAAAACAGACCTGAGGATCAGTAGAACAGACTGGAAGATGCAGACACAACCACAAACACACTCAGCCACCTTATCTTTGACAAAGAAGCCAAACACGTTCACTGGAAGAAAGACAGCCTCTTTTTGTTGTTGTTGTTGTTTTTGTTTTTCTCCGGTACCGGGAACCGAACTCACGACCTTGCGCTTGCCAGGCAGGTGCTTCTGCCGCTGAGCTAAATCCCCAGCCCCAAGACAGCCTCTTTAATAAATGGTGCTGGAAAAAACTGGCTCTCCACATGCTGAAGACTAAAATTAGACCCATGCCTATCACCATACACTAAAGTCAAAATGGATCAAAGATCTAAATATTAAAACACAAACACTAAATCTACTGGAAGAGAAAGTAGGCAGAAATCTTGAAGACACAGGGGTAGGCAGAGAATTCATGAACAAAACCCAAACTGCACAGAAATACTTTAAAGAATCAACAACTGGGATCTCATCCTACTGAAGAGTTTCTGCACATCTAAAGAAATCAACAGCAGAGTAAAAAGAAAACCCACAAATTGGGAAAAAATTTTAGCCAACTGTCCCTCAGACAAAGGACTTCTATCTAGAACATATAAAGAATTTTAAAAATTCAGGTCCCCAAAATTCAAAGACCCAATGCAAAAATGGGCATCTGAAATGAACACACATTTCTCACATGAAGAAATACAAATAGCAAATAAATACATGAAAAAATGTTCAACATCATTAGTCATTCAAGAAATGCAAATTAAAACAACACTGAGATTCCATGTCACCCCAGAAAGAATGGCTATCATCAAGAAATCAACCAATTACAAATGCTGGAGGGGCTGTGAGGAAAAGGGAACCCTCTCCACTGTTCATGGAAGTGTAGACTAGTGCAGTCATTGTAGAGATCAGTCTGGAGATTCCCCAGTAAACTAGGATTAGAGGTCCCATTCAACCCAACTAGTTCTCTTTTGGGTATTTTTCCAGAAGAAATGAAAGCATTATACTACAGTGTTGTATGTGCACCCATGATTATAGCAGTGCAATTTATAATAGCTAAATCTTGGAAACAACCCTAATGACCATCAACTGAGGGATGGATAAAAAAAGATGTGGTATTTTTACACAATGGAATATTAATCAGCTATAAAGAAAGATGAGCTAAAGGCTTTAATAGGTAAAGGGATGCAACTAGACCATACTCATAAGTGAAATAAATCAGACCCACATGTGTAAACATAATACTGCCTCCATAGTGTAAGAACCTGAAAGTAAATAAAATCTGAAAGGGACAACAGATATTGTGAAAGAGAAAGAAACTGCTCAAAAGGATAGGACAACTGGGATGGGGGAAAAGAGAAAAGAAAGAAAGAAGGAAAAATATGTGTATGCGTATACACAAGATAGTTAAGATAATTGTACTACTAATTTCTATTGCTTTATTGAAAGGAATAGTTAATGTTTAATTGTTTCATCAATCTTACATGCCTATATCTGGTTATCTGAGTAACCACTTTGAAGGTAACAATATGTGATATAACAACCATTATTGATTTCCTATCATCTTGTTTGAAATTCTACACAGTTTTTATTGTTTTTGTGTTGTTTTATTTATGTCTTTGTGCTATTTTGTTTTTGTTCTTTTCTCTTTAAAATAAAAAAATGAAGATGTGGTTTGTGTGTGTGTGTGTCTGCCATAAAGAAATACTAATTTTAAAACCCAGAAAGTGCAAATAGTCTCCTATGAAAAAAGAGCTACTTTTGTGGACCTGAAAAAAAAATCACACATTGACCCCATAACTTTTAGATTTTTAGTAATTTAAATATTTCCTGTAAATTTTACATTTACCAAAAAATAATAACAGGCTGGGTGTGGTAGTGCACGGCTATAATCTCAGCACTTGGGAAGCTAAGACAGGAGGATTGCTGCAAATTCAAGGCCAGCCTGGGCTACAAAGTGAGTTCAGGCCAGCCTGAACCATATAGTGAGACCCTGTCTCAAAAAGACCAAAAAAAAAAAAAAAAAGAAAAGAAAAGAAAAGAAAAAGATAAAAACAAAACAAAACAAAAAAACCTCTGGAAAAAATTTAGAAACCAGAATTACACCTCCGTAAATTTCAAATGACATAAGAAAGCAATGTGACCATACCTCCCCAGGTGTTGATATGAATTTTCTTCCACCACACATATAGGAAAAGAAGAGCAGACAGGAAGAACTGGGAGGTGGTGTTGGCCCAGGCAGACCCTCTGAAGGAGAAAAGTCATCGTTACTCCTGAGCAAATCCTTTCAAATATGAACCAACAGACAGTCCTGGTGAGCTTTGGCTCCATGGTACACTCAGTTTACATGAGTCTGAAGCTCCTTCACTGTCTTCTCTTAATACTTTAAAAACTGCACCCATTTGTAGTACACTTATTTTATTCCCATTGAGACTGAGTTTGTGGAAGAAACCAATATTACTATTCACCAATGGGAAATAAAAGGACATAAATATTTACCACTATTTCTTTTTTTTGGTACTGGGAATCAAACTCAGGACCTTGCCAGGCAGGCGCTTATGCCGCTGAGTTATATCCCCAGCTCTTTACCACTATTTCTTGTGGAACAGCCTTAAATAACCCATTGAATAATTTCTCAGATATAGCTAGTCAAAGGGATATAGCTAGTCAAAAAGAATATATCAATCAGCTACTGTGTTCAAAGCATTGCCCTACATCCTACTAGCTTTATTTTCTAGGATTTTCTAGGATTATTTTCTAGGATTATAACAGGCTTGTTTTCCACTGGAATTTAAGCTTGGGACATCTGCAGTACGTGGCATTTTATCACTACAAATAAAATGTCCACGTTGTTAAAGTGAGCCAGGAACTCTGCCTTCTTGTCTATTTTTCATTTCACTCTCTTGTCCAGTCTTCACATTTTATCATTTATTAATCCATTCTTATACTTTCTTATCTTATCCCACTCTCAAAACTGTCCTACTACAGTTCCTTGGGAAACTTCTTAGAGAAGTCTCTGAGGTGCACCTCACAGGAGAGCTGCATACCTGTATGGTCAGGTGCTGGTCCTCACTCTGGCCTTCTGACTCCAACTTCCCCTGACTATCACCTTATCCAGTTTTTTAGCATAAAGATTTTTAAATGGGCTTTCACTGATTGTGGTTGTTTTTGTTGTTGCTTGGTTTTTGTTTGTTCTCACTGTGCCGGGGATCAAACCCAGGGCCTTGAACAGCCAGGCAAGTGCTCTATGATGTGTTATGTTCTAATCCTCTGCTATCCTTTCGCTGATGGCTTTTAGCAGTAAGAAATAACATCTTCATCACCATCCAGTATCCACATTAACATGTGTACACACAAGCACCCATATATACCTGAAACAAATCTCAAAAAAATACCTCCACAATAGCTGGTGCTCCACACATTTGCTATTCCATTTCATTTTCTTCTGTTTGATTCTTAATATATTTCATTTTTTAAAAGTGCTAACCAGGATCCACTAAACTTATTTTTGTTTACAAAGGAACACACTACCCTGAGCACACCAAAAGTGCTGGGGCTCAGTCTGCACTGCAGGCATGATCACTCTCTAGCCATGTGTGCAAGGCTGGCCCTGGGCTGAGCTGCCAGCGTGTACCCGGGTGAGGGGTGGATCTGCAGAGCACCTGCCAAAGGAAGCCCACGCTGATGGTGCTTGCTGGCTTGCTCTGTGGGACCCTCTTGTTCTTGAGCTTCGGAAGACAGAATCTGCCTCATGTTCTCACAATTCAGAACCTAGGAGAGTCCCTACAAGCATCCACCCACTTCTGCCTCTGCCTCTGCCTCGGTCACCCACCTCAGCCTTCGTGGACTGACCAGCTCCCTTCTCCCCGTTAACCTGCTTCTACTCACAGCTCTCAGCTTACACATCACCTCCTCCAAGACCCTGCCCTTTCTGTCTACCTAACTTTCACCCATTTTCAACAGCCTGTGTGAATTGCTCCCGCCATGGGCTCACACAGCAACCAGCTCTCACCTGTCTTTCAGGTAAGAAAACAGGCCTCTGGGTGACTGTTTGTTTACCTGTGTGCACTCCCTCAGATCGCTTCACCCCCTGCATCCTAGCCCTTAGGGCTGGAGCCAGCATACACTCAAGTTTTTATTGAATGAATGGGTCATGACTTACACTACTCCGAGATCCAGGGCATACAGCAAGAGGGCATTCATGCCCACGTTGATGACATTCGCTGCAATTCCAATAATAACTTGGGGCATGATGATGCCCTAAATTACCAAACAAATAGGAAAATAGCATTTTCAAAAGCTACTCAGCTACGCTGTCAAGTGAACTTTCACAGTTAAATAAGTAACTTTTTTAATGAGATGGGGTCTTACACTATTGTCCAATCGGGCTCACGCAATCCTCCTACCTCAGCCTCCCCAGTAGCTGGGACCACAGGCCTGCATCACTGTGCCCTGCTTACAGGTGACGACTGCAGGCAGTTACACAAGACTGGAACAGCCAGGAGCAGAAAAAAACAGATATCCTCCCCGAACCTTGGTAGTGTGAAGTCTCATGTGCAAAGCACCCAGCAATGCCGGCTTTATAGCAGTGCACAGAGAACATTTGCCCACTTGTTTTATGGTACCAGCCCCCACTCCTTTTGTTTACACTGCCCCCTCTAGTACTCAGACATTTTCTTTAGGTAATATCTTCCTGTCATTTAAACAGAGTTGCCTGCTATGAAGGCAGAATGCATTTATTCTGGCTTCATGGGCAATGCCTTCATGTTTAAAGGCTAGCAGGATATTTGTCTGGGATAAACAGCAGAGGGACAGTGAAGAGTACTCAGCCTACGATTTTACCCACCCACCTCCTAGCCTCAGCCTCCTCCCTCATTTCCCAGTCTGCCTCTGGTGTTCTGAGGTCACAGTGCCCCTACCACTTGCAGGAATGTGCCTGAAGTAAATCCAAGCCCTTTCCCTCTAAATAAGAAATACAGGCCCAGTCCCAGGATAGTTGGGAAACTGAGTGCCCGCACCCGGAGCAGGTAAGAAGCTGAGAGGGATAAGATATGATCAGGAGGAAGTGGACACATTGTTATGAGCATCTTTCCTGGGCTGGATGGTATCCAACCACAAGGTCTTACATCTCTCACACAAAGAACTCTGGTAGGAAAAAAGTATGAATTACCTTTATAGCAAATTTCTTTAAAATATTTACATTTCTAATATTATAGAATAAAAAATATAAAAAGAAGCAATACCTGACTTTGTAAATATCTTGTCTGCAGCTGGAATAGGAATGCTGCCTACAAGATTAAACAGAAAGGCAAACATCAAGAGTTCACTTCAGTTCTGATTTTGTGGTGGTGGTGTTTTTGTGGTGCTGTGGCTGGAACCCAAGGCCTCACACCTCTTAGGCAAGCCCTCTACAATTGAGCTGCATCCCCAGACCCAGTTCTAATTTATAACATATTTCCTCTTGATGATGTCATGTCAAATTTAGAAAACTAGACTCACCATAAATAAACACTAGGGCATTAAGTATTTGAAATTTTTCACAGTAGATAAAGATTTAGTCCCTGAAAAGTAGACTGTAGTGGTTGATTGATTATGTCAACTTGAGAAGTTTAGAAGCTTAACTAGACTTGGCTCAGCAATTGGCTCAGTAATTCTACACCCTAGAGTGTAGAGGAGCCACCCTAGGGTTACCATCACCTAAATGATACAAAAGGGAAAAGAGGACGGACACTGAGGCTCCCATCCTTCAGCGAAGCTCCAGTCTTCACCTTCGGCTTGGACACCGCCTCCTGGTTTCTAGTACAGACTCTCCCACTTCCACCTTGGATCCATCAGTATTCCAGTGTAGACTCATCAGCCTTCCGTCGCAGCCCCATCGGCCTCCTGATATGGACTTGCACGGACACTGCAGTGAGCGCCAGAGCTTGGACTGAATACTTCGGTCTCCAGTGTGCAGACACCCTCTGCACACTTCCTCATTCAACTCTTTGGCTGACCGTTGTCAGCCAATTTTGTCATTCCTTATACATTTCTATATCTTGTGTTATATCTGTTTCTCTAGTAAAACCCTGACTGACACATAGACACAGGCAAATTCTAAACAGTTGAAGCATAAATTAAAGCCTTGTCATTCTGAATGGCTCCAAGGGTACCCAGGAAATGTTCTGATTAATTTGCTACCAAAAGTAGCCATGGAATAAGGAATCAAGAAGAAAACATTTTCCCTTCAATTCTTGCACTTAATTTAAGTGGGTGGACACCAGAGTGGTACAGTAAGGTAGGGACAGCAGGTCCCAGAAACAGCTGCTGAACTTTTGCACAAATGGCACCGTGGTCAATAGATGACAAGGCGTGAGGTGGGGCGACACAAACACATGCACAGCTTTGTGTCCAACAAGAACAGTCTCAACACTTACAGGAAGAGCAGGAATGGAAATCATCACATAAATCTGGGCTATCCTGCAATAAATAACAAGACAGTCTTTTGTTAAGATTAAAATGATTTCTGGTCATCCCATCCTCAAATTGAACCCACAGAATATTTTTAAAAGTTACAACTAAAAATAACTTCTAGAGGAGAAACTGAATCACAGCTCTGGTTTCCTGAAGCATACATCAAGGGCACTAGAGGCCTTCCTGTCTCTGCCATAAGAGAAAGTCTAGTGACATTTCCCAACTTGTTCTCAGTCTACAAAGTGGAGTGAACACAGCAAAAAGAAATAAAACTTGAGCACAGCGCAGAAACTCTTTGAAAGCATCAGGAGTACCTCACAGTGAGCAAGAGTCTACTAGAAAGGGCCATGTAGCCCAAGGACAATACCTGAGGCCATGCTGGAATTGAAGGTTTAAAAAAGGGTCTCTAAAAATAGTGTCAGTATTAGACTTTGGTCAAGGGGAAGACATTCTGTGTTGCAGGACACCAAAATGGGGGGATGACAGGAAAGGGAGACGAGGCCAAGGCACAGCACTTTCCTCCTGCTTGTCACCCAAGGTCAGGCGGTCCCTGTAGCTGTGGCACTTGGGCCCACAGTCACAGCTTCCAAAGGGTTCAAGTCCAGCTAACTGGCTGAAAATGTCAACACAGATATGCTGGGGGTGAAGCCAGGACCTTGTCCAAGTGAGGAAAGAGCTCAACCACTGAGCCACACCCCAGCCCAGACAGCCACATACTCTTGACCTAAGATTCTGAACTGGAGATGCTGACCTGGAAACCTCAGGGTCTTGTTTTAAGAGCAGGAGGAGGCGCTCAGCGTTGATGAAGACAGCCCAGCAAGGGAAGCAACACAGCAACAAGATAAGGATTCCTCTCTGAAGTATGATCCCCACACGTTTCAGGTTCTTGCCGCCGAAGGACTTGGGAAAGCAAACAGAAAGAACCCCATGGTTTAGGCCAAGACCCGGACCTTGCACTTCTGCCACCCCTGGGGCCCAGGCAGCCGAAGTTCCATAGCTGACATGCAGGGAAGCTGCAAAGCCAGCAGCACCCAGTGAACTCGGAGGCTGTTGGGGCGTTCTACACATCCTGGGATGCATAGGTCCCTAGTCTCCAGAATTGACACTTAACCAAGCGGGTACTGGAGCCTAGAATGCTGAGGGAGAGAATGAAGGCTTAGGGACTCAGGGGCCTTGAGAGACAGGGATATTTGCAGCAGCAGAGGAAGAAAGATATTTACAGTACGGGGATGGTCCAGTGGGTTAAGGACAGCCAGGTGCTTACCTAATTATGTCATCAAGAGAGATGAGGAAGGGACCTGGAAGAGGACTGGCCCAGCTGATAAGCGGGAATGCAGAAGGCATTGATGGGGGCTGAGCTGACAATGGGAGTACAAAGAACACTTTCAAGAAGCTTATGGAGGGCTGAGGAGTGGCTCAATGGTAAAGCACTTGCCTAAACGGCCAGAGACCCTAGGTTCCATCCCCAACATCACGGAAAAGAGGGCAAGGGGTTATGAGGAGCTAAGACAGGGAGGAAAAAGGCAAATGCACCCTTGAGAAGATGAGACCCAGAGGACGAAAGCTGTTAAACAAAATGATGGGAGACCAGTGATTTGGACTAATCTATGCTTGCCCCAGCAGACCAGATCAGACCAAAATGGAGTCCCTCTTGCTAAATGCCACATCATCAAACCCAGACTTTAAGAAACAGATCAACCCCAAAATGGACCAGTGTACCCTGAGAACAGGAGATCTCAACTACCTGAGTCTGTGCAATAAGAAGTTCCTTCTGCTTTAACCTATTTAAGAAAATAACCTACACGAAACTGATGTTGACCAGTTTATCTTCCAATTGCTTTGCTTTTTGTTCCTACCTTATAAAACCCACCATTCTGCCAAGGCTGGTGGAAGCACGCTCACTCTTTTGTAGAATGAAGCTGCCCCATTCTTAACTGCAAATAAAGACCAGTTAAATTTATAACTAAGTTTGCTGTAATTTTGTCTTTTGATGTCCTAAAGCTAACACAGCTATGCTTGTGTGTTTACAGTCATTAGCAGCACCGGATTTAACACATAAAAGGAAGGTGGACAACTCCCTAGGCAGCCTCTTGGGTAAAAGGTAATTGCCCCAAGAAAAATTGTGTGGGCAGGGTGCTCCTCACCTGAGACATTAGCGTGTCACAAGCAGAGGCTAAGCCAGTTCCCACTGAAATCCCAGTGACGTTCACAACCTGCAAGAAACAACAGGCCAGGTGTGGCATGCAGTGTCAATGTCAAACACCCCTTTATACCAAGGAACTTCTACAAGTTCATTTTTAAAGAACAATTCACAGTTGTATACTTAAGCCTATATATTTTAGATCAAATGGGTGTCCACATGAATCCTTGTTGATTACTGAACAAAAAAAAAAAAACATCTTTTAACCAAAGGATCATAACCACATTGTATCAACTGGGAAAACTTAAAACCTGTGTTTCTTAATACTACATGTTACAGTTTCTGTACTGAAAAGTCCAAGTAGGGTTCTGCAGTGTGCACTGTAGTCCTGGCTGCTCAAGAGGCTGCAAAAGGAGGACCATTTGAGCCCAGCAGTCCCAGGACAGCCTGGACAACATGGTGAGATTTTGTCTTCAAAAATTAAAGAAATAAAGATAAATAAAAGTTGTGGTTAATGTCTAAAGGCCATGCCCTGTTTGCTAGTAGGATGTGCATTTAAAAAAAAATAACAGGGTTGAGGGTGTAGCACATTCTAATGTGCTAGGTGGGCTCCTAAGCCTTTCATGTACATGGTGTATGACTGTTAATCCCACTTCTTGGGTAACATGGGTCACAAAAGCTTATGATATTTGCCCAGGTTACTCAGAGGGCATGAATGGAAGGTGGGGAATCTGGCTGTAGACCCTAGACTTAGTCCTGTAGTGAGGAATGGGTCACTTTCTTGACTAGACCTTATCCAGTGCCCTGACATTTAAGGTTACAGATACAAAAACACAGGTAAGGGCAGGGCCTATAAGTGCTGTTGTGGGACAGAGAAGAAGCACGGGAAATGCAGAGCCGGAGGTCTGGAGATCCCCATTTCCATCCGGGTCTCATGTGAAACAGCATTGGGATTCCCAGGTGGTAACGTCTCCACCTACTAAGACTATCCTGGTCCTACAGGTTGAATATCGGTTGAGAGTGACCCCCAAAGGTGCATGTGCTGGAAGCTTGTTTCCCAGTGTGCCAGAGTTGGGAGGTATTTCTTCAACAGGTGGGGCCTTGCAGAAGATAGTTAATCATTGGGGACACCGCCCTTGGAAGGAATTAATGTAGTACTTGAGGAATCCTGGTTAGATCTTGTGAATCCCTCTTGCTTCTTAACTCATCGTGTGACTGCTCTCTTCCTCTTGGAGGTGCCCTGGCCATGGTGCATCTGCCATGGTGTGGTGTAGCAGGAAGGCCCTTAGCAGAGACAAGCAGGAGCTGGTGCTGTACTCTAAACATTCTAGAACTATGAGCTAAATAAACCTCTTTTCTTTATGAAGTACACAGCCTTAGATATTTTGTCTTAGCAACAGACAGTGGACAAAGACATCTGGTAACCCAAGGCTCTAGTCCCCAGGAGCTAACAGGTCACATACAGAATGCCTAATGGCTACCCCATGAGGCAAAGGCTGGATCTAAATGCAACCCAGAGGACTCAGGGCACAGTGAGGATTGGACATGAAGCACCTGCACTACAACCCCGAATTCCTCCAGAGGCACCTCGGCCTACCAGGGAAGGAGAAAGGAGACATGTGTCATTTTCTGAACATTTTTCCACTTTTTGTTTTCTTTTGCTTTTGCTTTGACGAGGGTGGTTTTGTTGATGCTTTCTTTTTGCTATGTTTCACTTTGGGTAAACTAACTCATTTGGGTTGGCTTAGAATATTATTGCTCTACAGCTCACAGTTTATCCCTGGTCCAGTCAGCTGGCGCCAAAGCCACAGCAGCCATGGGCCCCACTGCTTCAGCGGTCACAAGCTTTTACAAAACTTGAGTTGGTGTCAGATCTCTCCCTTACCATGGACAACTTTATAATAAAACACAGGACAAAAAATGCTACTGTGTCTCCCATAGCAAATTGTCCAAGACACAGTCACAGTGTGCACTGTATGAGAATCTGCAAGAAAAATTTCACTAGCTCAGTACACAGAAAGCTCACCTTTCCCCTAATTTAACAGTTTGGCAAAACTGAGGTACGCTGAGACTCCCGCAGAGCACAGCGTGGAGCAGAAATGCAGCATCCTGCTACGGATGTTGCCCCCAGCTCCAGCTCCCTCCATCCCTGTTCCTTTGGCCCATTCCACCAGCTATTTATTTATCCTTCTCTACTTGATATATCTGTGTAAACCAGTTTAAGTTCTTTGTGGAATGAGGTGGAATATAAACAAATATTCTTTCACTTAAAGCAAACAGACACTTATAAATTCCTTCATACTACAAAGACTTTTTCGTAAGATCAAGGTTGTTCAAAGCTAACTCATTTTCATAAATAAAGTCATTCTGTGGCCGAGTCTATTGTCTTCACAGCGGTTAGTTACAATTCAACAACTGAATAAAAGGAAAGCATCACCTCCTCCTTGCCAAGGGCTGACAACACAGCTCCCAATCTAGGAGCTTATCACAGACAGTCCTTCCTGCCTGTGGAACATACCATCCTTCCTGTGCCCTATTCCAGCTCTCTAGATAATCGGGATTGTATTCAGTTTAGGCCTGTTATTTTTACAATGAAAACTAAGAAATCTTCTCTAACCTCTTATTGGATGATTTGGGGGATAAACAGAAAGAGGGAAGGAAATTGCCACAAACCACCACTATAATCTTAATTTAATTTTCCCCCAGATATATTTCTAAATAGTTTTAGTGAAATAAATGAAAGAACAGGAATCACAGGACTTTATGCAAATATATATCCTGAGGTTTTAAAGTCTCACCACATTACAGGATGGAAAAGCATAATGGGGCAGGGTTGAAGAATAGAACGAAACAAAAATAAACCAGAAGATGCCCAATGAGAACCAACTCGAAGATCAAGACAACTGAGCGATGTGTTTCTCTGAAATGGTTAGGCCAGCTCTGTGCAGGCCAGATCAGTGCCAGGAACTAAACTGAGCCAAAAATGAATATGAGCTTGAAAATCAGTGAAGAGAAACCAGAGACAGAGAAAATCAACACAATGGAGCCAGGGCCCAGACCCAGCAGCTCAGGAGTGAGGCAGGAAGGATGAAGGCAGCCCAGGACAGTGGAGTGGGAAACAGAAAAAAGGGGGATTCTAAGGAATGTGGGGAACAAAGGCCATGCTGACTCATGGAGATTGGAAGTCTAAAAACTATAAGAAGGGTGCCTGGGGTGTTGCTCACAGGTAGAGTGCCTGTCTAGCATGTATGAGGCCCTGGGTTCCATCCCCAGCACCACAAAATATAAAAAATTAAAAAATAAAAGAGGCAAGTACATCCGGACTCCAGGGAAGAGCTTCAAACTCTGGGCTGGAGGAGTCTCTGCATCTTCCACCTGATCTATCGCACAAGTGGTTGCCCGAGCTGGAAGCCTAGGTCAAGGATGGAGATACAACGATCAACAGTGGTCATGGTCAACAGAAGCAGGAGGAGAGGGGAGAGAAAGGTAAGCGCAACTATCACAAAGGCCACAGGAGAGCTGAGGAGGGTCAGGCTGAAACACTACCCACAGGGCAGCCGGGTGAGGGTGAATGCTCTGGCACCGACAAAGGAGTGAGAATGGGTCACTGCCAACTGCTGTCCAAGCAAGGTGAAGAGAGCAAGGGGTTGGACTGGAATGGGAGAAAACACAATGAAGACAGAATGTGGTCTGTCTAGCAAAGAGCATAGATGAAGACAGGCTGGAGGACCAGGTGAGGACAGGGGTGGATGTGGATGTTTTTATAGGAAAAAAGACTGGTGGTCCACACCTGTAATCCCAGAACTCTGGGAGCTTGAGGCAGGAGGATTACAAACTTGAGCTATGCCTGGGCAATTTAGTGGTTTATCAAGACCCTATCTCAAAATAAGAAATAGAAAAGGATGGGGACAGGGCTCAGTACAAAGGCCATGGGTTTAACGTCCAGTTTAAAAAAAAGAACAACAAACTCAAGGCTTTTATAGGTAAATGGATGCAACTAGAGACCATACTCATAAGTGAGATAAATTGGACTCACATGTGTAAACATTGCATTGTCTCCCAAGTGTAAGAACCTGAAAGAGTAAATAAAGCCCAAAACGTACAACAGACAATATGAAAGGGAAAGAAACTGTTCAAAGGAAGGAACAACTGGGATGAGGGAAAGAAGAAAAAGAAAGAAAGAAGGCAATATATATATAT